TGAACAACAGGCTCCTGAATTAGGACAGGTGCATAAAAATGCAGCGGGTTTAAACCTTTTAACAGGCGCCAACCTTCACCCTAACCTGAGACAGTAGTGTAACATTACAACATAAAAAGACACACTATAAAATATCAATTCAAATGAAAGAAAAAGTTTGATCTATGACACTATATAAATAACACATAGCTGAGAGTGTGATAGAGCAGATTGTTACCCCGAGAAAACATTGTCAACTGAGGCGAAGCCAAGGTTGACAATGTCTTTTCGAGGGGTAACAATCTGCTCTATCACCCTCTCAGATATGTGTTATTTAATTTATTATACTGAATGTCCTGTAATTACTGTCGATTAAATTTCAAATTCAAAGTAATAAACTATGACGTCTTGTACTTAACAATCATCCGTATTTAATAAAGCGCACACTTGATCAAGCGTCTCCGTGAAGGGTAATAGAGTATTTGCCATAGGATAGAGTTGTATTTAATAAAGCGCACACTTGATCAAGCGTCTCCGTGAAGGGTAATAGAGTATTTACCATAGAATAGAGTAAATTAACACCCTCGTATAAGCCAATCAAAATATTGCATTTTTACGTGAAGTATAATAAAATATAAATACGATATTGAAATGTAGGTGCCTATATAACATAGACGTTACAGGTAGTAATAAAAGAGATGTAGGAAGAGTGTCAATAAGACAACTCTCACCTGGGACAAAATGGCATTAAATAAATCAACGTACACACTTTCGCAGCAGCTGTACCAGATCATAAAATGTATCATTATCAATGAAAACATAAATTATTCATTAAATAAATTCAGTAATAAGAGCCATGATTTTAAGATATGGTATGACTAATCAGATCAGTAATAAAAGAGAATAGCAAAAAAAGACTAGAATTAAATTTGTTCATATCTTTTTCATTTGGTCTTTTGGAATAGTTGTCTCATTACATATCATACCACATCTCCTTTTTTTTTATTAAAAAGAAACAAAGTACTGACAGTTATTGGCTACTTCAAAGCACAATTTCAACTAATAAATGTTCTTCTAGAGTAATATTCAGTCCAATTGTAGAAACTATGACCATGCCAGCAATATCTAAAAACCAACAGGGATTCTACTTTTATCAAAATTTTAATCATGTGTGCATGTATCTTTGCAATCAAGAAATACTTTCCAGCATGTATTTCAGGCTATTTTTAGTAACTATGACATATTATACGTCAATAACTCTCAAATTATGCTACCATATAGGAAAGTTACAGGAAACATCCTCTCAGTATTTGTCAGCATATATCCATATAAGGTTGCGATCTGATATAAAGTATTTGATTTATTATAGGGAAACCGAGATGACTATTGGACTGGCAGGCCAAAAACTATATATATCCCCGATACTTTGTAGTGTTGAGTAAAAAGATTTACAGAACATATATAATAACTACCAGAAATGAAAAAAGATTCCCAGACATAAATTTACACATAACTATGATTCTATAGAACTATATATTTCATCCAATTACTCAATGTAATTAAAAAATTCCCCTACTACTGTAAACAATTTATAGAGTGATTTTATCAATTAATTACACTTTGAACAAGATATCTGATTGCTGAATAAGAGGAATAGATTATATCATGCAGTTATGATAAACTTTGGTTACATGAAAAATCTCTCCTTTAAAACATTGTCCTCATTGGGGATCCAGAGATTATCCTCTAAGGAATATTAATAGCTGATACCTCATGTCCAATCCTTACATGTACACAACATAGATATTTGTTAAGTTCAACATGATATAACCATAGCATGTTGACAAAGGAAAAATATGCTCTACACTTGCATATACATTGCATCTATAAGGTACTGGTAAGAACTGCAATCAGTCCCTTTTAATCCCTTTTTCTTAGTGGCTTTACATTCAAAGCTACCATTGCCTTAACTATTAAGGCAGAAATGCTATCAGCAAAGTTTTGAAACTCCATACCAAGGTTGACAGACCTCACCAGGGCACATTATCCTATTTCAGAAAACCTTTAGTTGAGTAGTGCAATATACTTTTCACTTCGGCACATCTGACCTGTCACTTAAAATATGATTTCAAAAGTTGTAAAAAACATTGGTATTTATCTTTTTATTATTCTGAAGCTGAATAGTCTTCCAGATTCTTTTTACATGTACTTTCAATTACAACTCTTCCCCCTTGACATCCTTTTAATACACTCATTGTCTCTATCATAACAAAAATTGTATTTTTCTCTTTGTAATTAAACGAATAACTACATCATGGCTCACTAGGATTGCACAATAATGTTCCTCATTCCATTCTGATGTATGTCTCATCTTTTTACTTCTTTTGGTGACACATATACTTGAACAGGTTTACTCAAATCAATAGCCTGTTTCACATTGTCATGTGATGTGTCCTTGAATTTTTGATTGGATGCAGTCTCCATGGAAACTCACAGCTCCACATTGTTTGTTTCTAAAAAAACACATAACAAACATAATTTCCTGAAAGATCTATATTTGTCCTTAAATTGAGACAGAAATGAAGATTTTTGGCTAAGGAATAAAAAAGTTCTGGTCTTGAAAACATATCCTAAACATTGAAAATTATGTCAAAGTCGGACATAATTTTATGTTTCATGATGGATCATCTGACTGGAAGTTTTTTGGACATACAGGTACTGAAATTTACGCCGCCGCTTGCTGTTAACATGTAAGGTATATAAAATTAACCTACCTTCATAGCAATCCTCCCCTTTTCGATTTTTTTCCATTCAATACCAATCTCCAAACCCTCAGAGAACCCATCTTGTAATGAATGAAATGAAACGAGCGATCTGATTGGTTTAATTTTTTCAACGACCTTTACATTAACCAATCACATCCCTCGTTTTATTTCATTGATTTAAAACAACAACTTGATTTGACCTTACTTGAGGCCAGTTGTAAATGTAATAAACGGAATAATATAATAGGAACTTCTAAGGAATTCAAATGTGTATAATCAAGATCAATTTAATAACCACATTCATCTCTAACCAAACAAACAAAAAGATTTTAATGATTAATAATATTAACCTTTATATCATCAGAATCCTCCAAATATTTACAAGGACGTTAGTTATAAATCCTTGACATTTACGTCACACTTTCGTCTTCTAGGTGAAAATTCCCGCAAAAACAATATTCCTGCGCATGTTGCCATTTGGCAAAAGTAAACGACTTGTATTTAGAAATTTTCGGCGATAAAATATTTCATACAATTGCTCTTTAACATCTTTACCAAACGCACAGGGGATAAAAAACAATGTATGAATTTCTATTGAGCCCTATTCCCTATGTGCAACGTCAATTATTTTGGGTTGTTCGACGATCATTTAAAGTTATACTGGACATATTTTATGTTTTTATAACCAAAATTATGAAAAAATTTCTAATTAGTTATACATAACCTACCAGCCTGCTAGATAAGGGCAACGGCACATTTTACAGAATTCTTGGGGAAAAAAGCAAATCTAGGGTGCTCGCATAAGGCAGCTTAACTGCCCAAAAACCCGTAAGATTATAATAGATTGTCAAGTGTTAATCTTCCAGTTGCAAAATTTCATCATATCAGCTGAACTCATTAACGAGTATGATGTTTTCTTGAAAAAATATCTTTTTGAGATTTGTGTCGTCTTGAATATGCATGAAACATTTGTCACTGCACGTTGATTGACAATTGATGTACGAACTGTTATTTGAATGAGTAAAAATAAAGTGCATATAAAGAAACGTTCCGTGAATATTAATATGTATAGACTTCAGCGCTCAATATAACCCTAGAAATTATAAAAAAGAAGATGCGGTACGTTTTCGATTTAGACAATAAAACATTAAAGATCAAAGAACAAGGATATAAAGAACTACACGTCCAACGGTCTTCAACAATGAGCAAAACTATGATCGACCATACCATATATAAGATAAAGTATAAAAAATCTAACGGCCTGATATAAGCTAACAGAATTTAACATGGAAAAATACAGACAGACAGCAGTCATTGATAGCCACTGAACTAATATGGATTACCTCCGTACTATTAATATTCAAGGTCAAGTTTGTCAAAAACCGGACGGAAAAAGGTAAAATAACAAATATACCGAACTCCGAGGAAAATTCAAAACGGAAAGTCCCCTCTTCCTGACCTAGGACACTGGTATAAGAGCACAATATGAAAAATGTTATAACAACACTTCAATTTATTCGTGCTTTATTTATCGCATCGGTACTACACACACTTCCACAATGACTCTAGCTCCACTGTCCTTGAACTTATTTTCATAGTTCAATGACCACGTGATTGCTGTTCGCATGTGATGTTTTTTCATTTAATATGAGTAATAAGTCAAGTATATTTGTATCTGGAATCGTTGCAAGGTCAACATGGCAGGAACACAGGATTCATCCAACCTTGACCTTATTTCATTATTCATTGATCGATCGTCACGTTTGATTTTCGTGATTATGTCAAAACACAACACAGAATACACAACACTGGACAACAAGAACCCTACCAGAAACAGGGGTCGGACTTTGGTATTCCTCAAGTCACAACTTCCTGTTCCACTAGTTATACACGTCATTTCATGTATCTTTGTTTTTTAAAAGTTTGATCAATCATTCCTGATAATGATTAATTAAGAAACACATGTCGTGCGCACTAAAACAGTGATGTGCACTTTGTATTTGGCCTATTAACAGATAAATATGATTGAGCATGCATACAACAGCAATTGGCAAATTCACTGAAAAAGAACTCAGTGGGACACAAATTCACAAGTATAAACACTTTATATGTAGTATGTGGTGTTTGATATTATTCATTTTTTTTTGTATTTGGTGACTGTCTCTATAACCCATTCAATACATTTTAAACCTCCGTTGACATTCCTATAATTAGGTCAATTATTATTTAATAATGATGATTAATTTTTATTTTCAGTTGTATTCGGCCTGTTCGAAATGTATAGGTTTAGTGAAAATATTGGGCTGTCTTGGTTGTGCATTTATAACGTGTGCATGTTGTTTACTGTCTCCATGATGTACTGGCATATTCAACATATTCAACATGATCAAGAGATAGATAAGAAGACAAAATGAATCATAGACAATGTCAAATATCAATGACACAACATGACCATGTTGCGCAATGTAAAAGTAACCTTAATTTTCTTTATCTTGTATAAAATGTATTCAATTGCAATATAAGCATGAATGATTCACTCTGAACTAGTGGTTTGTTAATTTCTTGACATCACAAAATAAGTAAGTGTATAATACATGTATCATGTGTATTTATCTTCATCATAAGCTGTATATTCTTTATTATGCTGTACAGAAATGACCAGTTGTATATTGTATGCCATATTATTCCATTCTCAAACTACAATTGTTTGTAAGACTTAAAGCTTTTGTCGTACAAGTTGTAATCAGCTTTAAGAAATCTATTAAAAAATAAAATAATTTGATCTTAAAAGATTTCAGTCAATATTAATACTTCTTCACCATTATTAAATAGGACTAGGAAATAAAAAATGAAAACAACAATTTCATGCGTCAGAAGTGCTTTTCTGGATTTACCTTCATCAGGAACGCTCAAAGCCAAAAAAATTGAAAGCCCAGTATGTATGTATAAGAACCAAAACAGTTGGACGAGCTATATGACACCGAATAGCAAGCTATAAAGGGCCCCAAAATGACTAGTGTAACACAACAGGAAAACCAACAATCTAATCTATAGAAACAAGAAACACCTATGGACCAGAATAACAAATGAAAACCACTGAACAACAGGCTCCTGAATTAGGACAGGTGCATAAAAATGCAGCGGGTTTAAACCTTTTAACAGGCGCCAACCTTCACCCTAACCTGAGACAGTAGTGTAACATTACAACATAAAAAGACACACTATAAAATATCAATTCAAATGAAAGAAAAAGTTTGATCTATGACACTATATAAATAACACATAGCTGAGAGTGTGATAGAGCAGATTGTTACCCCGAGAAAACATTGTCAACTGAGGCGAAGCCAAGGTTGACAATGTCTTTTCGAGGGGTAACAATCTGCTCTATCACCCTCTCAGATATGTGTTATTTAATTTATTATACTGAATGTCCTGTAATTACTGTCGATTAAATTTCAAATTCAAAGTAATAAACTATGACGTCTTGTACTTAACAATCATCCGTATTTAATAAAGCGCACACTTGATCAAGCGTCTCCGTGAAGGGTAATAGAGTATTTGCCATAGGATAGAGTTGTATTTAATAAAGCGCACACTTGATCAAGCGTCTCCGTGAAGGGTAATAGAGTATTTACCATAGAATAGAGTAAATTAACACCCTCGTATAAGCCAATCAAAATATTGCATTTTTACGTGAAGTATAATAAAATATAAATACGATATTGAAATGTAGGTGCCTATATAACATAGACGTTACAGGTAGTAATAAAAGAGATGTAGGAAGAGTGTCAATAAGACAACTCTCACCTGGGACAAAATGGCATTAAATAAATCAACGTACACACTTTCGCAGCAGCTGTACCAGATCATAAAATGTATCATTATCAATGAAAACATAAATTATTCATTAAATAAATTCAGTAATAAGAGCCATGATTTTAAGATATGGTATGACTAATCAGATCAGTAATAAAAGAGAATAGCAAAAAAAGACTAGAATTAAATTTGTTCATATCTTTTTCATTTGGTCTTTTGGAATAGTTGTCTCATTACATATCATACCACATCTCCTTTTTTTTTTATTAAAAAGAAACAAAGTACTGACAGTTATTGGCTACTTCAAAGCACAATTTCAACTAATAAATGTTCTTCTAGAGTAATATTCAGTCCAATTGTAGAAACTATGACCATGCCAGCAATATCTAAAAACCAACAGGGATTCTACTTTTATCAAAATTTTAATCATGTGTGCATGTTTCTTTGCAATCAAGAAATACTTTCCAGCATGTATTTCAGGCTATTTTTAGTAACTATGACATATTATACGTCAATAACTCTCAAATTATGCTACCATATAGGAAAGTTACAGGAAACATCCTCTCAGTATTTGTCAGCATATATCCATATAAGGTTGCGATCTGATATAAAGTATTTGATTTATTATAGGGAAACCGAGATGACTATTGGACTGGCAGGCCAAAAACTATATATATCCCCGATACTTTGTAGTGTTGAGTAAAAAGATTTACAGAACATATATAATAACTACCAGAAATGAAAAAAGATTCCCAGACATAAATTTACACATAACTATGATTCTATAGAACTATATATTTCATCCAATTACTCAATGTAATTAAAAAATTCCCCTACTACTGTAAACAATTTATAGAGTGATTTTATCAATTAATTACACTTTGAACAAGATATCTGATTGCTGAATAAGAGGAATAGATTATATCATGCAGTTATGATAAACTTTGGTTACATGAAAAATCTCTCCTTTAAAACATTGTCCTCATTGGGGATCCAGAGATTATCCTCTAAGGAATATTAATAGCTGATACCTCATGTCCAATCCTTACATGTACACAACATAGATATTTGTTAAGTTCAACATGATATAACCATAGCATGTTGACAAAGGAAAAATATGCTCTACACTTGCATATACATTGCATCTATAAGGTACTGGTAAGAACTGCAATCAGTCCCTTTTAATCCCTTTTTCTTAGTGGCTTTACATTCAAAGCTACCATTGCCTTAACTATTAAGGCAGAAATGCTATCAGAAAAGTTTTGAAACTCCATACCAAGGTTGACAGACCTCACCAGGGCACATTATCCTATTTCAGAAAACCTTTAGTTGAGTAGTGCAATATACTTTTCACTTCGGCACATCTGACCTGTCACTTAAAATATGATTTCAAAAGTTGTAAAAAACATTGGTATTTATCTTTTTATTATTCTGAAGCTGAATAGTCTTCCAGATTCTTTTTACATGTACTTTCAATTACAACTCTTCCCCCTTGACATCCTTTTAATACACTCATTGTCTCTATCATAACAAAAATTGTATTTTTCTCTTTGTAATTAAACGAATAACTACATCATGGCTCACTAGGATTGCACAATAATGTTCCTCATTCCATTCTGATGTATGTCTCATCTTTTTACTTCTTTTGGTGACACATATACTTGAACAGGTTTACTCAAATCAATAGCCTGTTTCACATTGTCATGTGATGTGTCCTTGAATTTTTGATTGGATGCAGTCTCCATGGAAACTCACAGCTCCACATTGTTTGTTTCTAAAAAAACACATAACAAACATAATTTCCTGAAATACCTATTTTTTAATATATGAATTCATAATTCACTTGATTTATGAATATCATGGTTAAAATATTTAAAGAGACCAGTACAGCACCCTAATTGTTTATGGCTTATCTAAGTAAATGCAGCTCCATAAATTAAATCAAGATAGAATTGAGAAAGGAAACAGGAAATGTGTCAAAAACAAAAACCCAACCAAAGAGCTGAAAATAGCCCAAGAACACCAATGGGTCTTCAACGCAGCGAGAAAATCCCACACCTGGAGGAGGGCTTCAGCTGGCCTCTAAACAATATGTCTGTATGTTTTAACATAAGGTTAAATATATAGAGCCTAAACACTTTCATAAACACATTTATGAAACCGATTTTTGACATGTTTTAAATCTAAACATGTTTAATATTTAATGTGTTAACAGCATAAACGTGTCAAGATATAAAGTGCTTAGACTGTAAACATGTTTAGCTGTAAAGTGTTTAGACTAGAAACATGTTTAGCTGAAAAGTGGTTAGACTGTCAACATGTTTAGCTGTGAAGTGTTTTATCTGGAAACATGTTTAGCTGTGAAATGTTTTATCTGGAAACGTGTTTAGCTGTGAAGTGTTTTGTCTGGAAACACGTTTAGCTGTGAAGTGTTTTGAATGTAAACATGTTTAGATCATAAAGGGTCGTGAAGAAACATGTTTATCATTTCAGTGTGAGAAGCCGTTACTTCATTAGGCCTAAATTTAACTAATTTTCCGGAAGGCTAGACTGTCAAACGTTTATTAATAGATAGCTCTCAATAAAACAGGTTTTCATACCATCACAAAAAGGAGCCAATGCATGCAATTAAGAAAATGGAATTTCCATTTTTCATTTGACTATTGCATTTTTTCTTCATTCGTTTTCAAATATTCGTAAAATAGTAAATGTCATATCTAGAACTTTTTGAAATGAAATTATCATAATACTAAATCTAGCTTTAAAAACAAAATTACAACATATAAAACAAAGGAATTTATGTTATCATTTATTTCCAGTTAATCATTGAACAATCAAACATAAATGCATAACAAGGTACCTTTACATAATATTGTTAATGACCATTCCTACTTCTACTTGTACCCCATACCCCACAACAACAAAATTTGAAACTGTCCTGTTTTCATTTTGCAGGACAATAAGTCATGGAGCTTCTCCTTTCTTATTACCCAACTGCTGGTCACTGGCCTGAAATATAGAAAAAAATTGATAAGCAACTAAGTAGAATTACTATTAAAATATAAGTATACGAACTACAACACAAAAAAGTAAAAGCATGATTTAAGATCCAGATAACAACGTTAAGACCAAGGTGGTATAAAAGAATAAATTTACTGATGAATCAATTGATATATATTTTCTAATTTAAACTTCTTTTCATGCTTTATATTATTCATTTGTTCAAATATATATTGGCATTCTAAAAATCAAATACACTTATGATTCTTACCTGGCAACAGATTTGCCACTGTTCTTTAATCTCCTCTTGTAGCATGTCAAGACAGATGATGATTTCCTCTGCACTTCTCTCATCAATCTAGAATAAAACAATACATGTATATAAAATTATAAGAATAGCAAAACCTCTTCTAACTATTGAATTAAACAAGCATCATTCTATTTATTTTGAAGAAAAGTGTTGATTCTATGAATTCGAAAAGACGCTGGATTTGCAAATGATGAACCCATCCTGGTAAGCCTCGGCAGATTCCGCTGCCCTTCGTGTTACATAAGTATAATCTGCCGAGGAGTACCGAACGATGATCCTCACAAACTCCTTTTCCAAGCACATAAATAAAAAATAAGTGAAAACTTGCATTAAACAACTCTTAACATCAAATCTTTACACAAGATAGTTTGAACACTAAAAGCTCCTACAAGCACTTTTTTCGTGACGGATAGTACCCCCTTCAGTTAGACAACCGGAAGCGTCTGAGTAAGGATTTCGGTGCTCAGTGATACGGTTCACTAGACGACGTTGTCAACACGTAATGGCGGCCATTGTTTGACGTTGGATTTGGCATTCCACGCTGTGAAGTTGTATTTATGACATTCGTGGATGCTTAAACGTTATGCCACACAAAATAAAAGGTAAAAGCTTATTTCAGATATTCAGTTAATTAATTTCAAATTAGTGTGATCTCAAGAAATGA